GGGCAGGGCTGGCATGAGGGAGCCCTGAGGGGTTCTGGGAGCCCTGAGGGGTTCTGACCCAGCCTCGGGATGGGGGAAGGTGTCCTGGAGGAGTGGGGCAGGGAAACTGAGTCCGAAGCTTGAGGCCCAGCTTCCGTGTAGACGAGCGGCAGGGCTGACACCCAGGGAGTCCCAAGTCAGGAGGGGAGGACAGCAATGGGGAGACCACCGGCTGTGGGGACGGGCCTGAGCTTTGTCTTCAGGCACTGGGGAGCCATGGAAGGGTCGGGAGCCGGGGAGGGGTCTAGGAGATGTCAGGACTAGAGGCCGGAGACCAGGGAGGATCTGGGGCAGACTGTGGGCAGGGCTCGGCTGGGCAGGGACCACGGAAGGGAGAGGGACAGACCTGAGACACCCAGGACTGGAGAGAGAGACTTGGAGATGGAACGGGCAGGATTCAGGAAGCTGTGAGCCCTGCAGGGACAGGGACCAGGTCTGCCTTAGTGACCACTGTGTCCCCAACACCTGCACAGGAGGGGTCCATAGATCTAGTGAGGGGTTTGGTTGTTTTACTTTTTTTCAAATACACAAAACCAAATCCACCAATGTAAAGTGTGCAATTCAGTGGCATTTAGCACACTGGCCACCTCTGTAGTTCCGGCCACGTTCATGTCCCACAAGGAAACCCTATACCCCTTGGCGGGCACTCCCAGCCCCTCTCCCCAGCCCCTTCCAACCACCGATCTCCTTTTGTCCCTGAGGATTCTGGATTTTACTAGGAAGTGTTTGCTGGAGGGACGAGGGAGGCAGAGGGTACAGGGCCCCAGGTGAACAGAGGAGGTGGCAAAGGGGCCTAGGCACAGGTGCCCGGCTGTGCAGCCTGGAGAGACTGCTCCCGGCAGGATCATGGAATCCTACGTGCCACCCCCCCCAATGAGGTTCAGTGGGTACTAAGAGCTCAGATCAGGCCTCCCACAACGTGCTTGGCACATCCATGTGCCAAAGTGGTCATCACTATCCCTGGTCATTCTTTTTCCCAGGTGCCCGCCTGTCAAAATGCCCATCCTGAAGAGCCTAGGGGTGGCAGACCCTAAGGTGCCCCGGGCAGGGACCCTGCCCCTGAGGTCCTCTCGGAACCCCTTTGAGGACATTCCGGGGCTGGAAGAAGAATCTGGGGAGCTGGGGACTCTGCCCAATGGAACATCTTGTCACCGCCGCGCCACCCTGGAGAAGCTGGCAGGCCTGTCCCCTTTCCGGCTGGGCTGGGCCCAGGGCCGACGGGCAGGCAGTCCTGGGGATGGGCCACCGCGCTCGTTCCTGGGCCGCGTGCTGCCCCCGGGGCTCCGAAGGAGTTCAGCAGACTTTGGCCTCCTGGCCCGGCTGCAGGGGACACGGGCCCATGGTGACGAGGAGGGGCCTGGGGAGGCTGCCCGGAGACTGGCCTTCCTGCGCCTGGGGCGTGGGCCCAAGCCTCGGCGGGCATCCCTGGCTGAGAGAGTGGTCCCAGCGGGGGAAGCTGCTCCTGAGCCCCCACCCAAGGTCCCAGAGCCCCCAAAGATGAAGGAGCCATTGTCAGGTGAGTGGGGAGGTCCTGACCCTCCATCATCCCCCACATCCCTCACCAAGTGAAACCTGACCCCACCCCCAGTATTCTTTTTTTTTTTTTACTATCTTTTTAGTTATACACGGGCACAGTATCTTTATTTTTTTATTTATTTTTATGTGGTGCTGAGGCTCGAACCCAGTGCCTCCGGTATGCAAGGCAAGCACTGTGCCGCTGAGCCCCACCCCAGCCCTCCAGTATTCCTGAACACAACTGGGGTCCCATCCTCTCCCCACCCCCTATTCCACCCGGTTCCCTCTCCAGCCTCACTCAACCTTCCGTCATTTCCAGCATCTGCTTTCAACCCCGTGGCCCTCCCTGACCCCTGGATTCCATCTCATTCCCATCCCCACCCCACCCCAGCCCCCACCTCAGCCTCCTCCTCCGTCCCCAGGCCCGTCTCATTCCCATCCCACTCTGAACCCAATCCTAACTCCATCCCCAATCCACACCTTCAAGTTCAATTAGGTAACTCATGTCCCGACGTGACCTTCAACCTCTTCACCCTGCCTAACCTCCACCATCACCCTTAACTAGATCCACCCAAATCTAAGCACCCGCAGGATGGGTTTTCCCAGGTACCACAAACTGGGTGGCTTAAAACAACAAAAAATACTGCCTGGAGCCTCCTGTGGGCTCACGGCAAGCTCTGGTGGGCGTGGGGGGATCAGGCTGATCTTTCACTTTGCTGGCCTTTCCCCCTCCCCTCTTCTCGGTGTCTTTGTGTCTAAATTTCCCCTTTTATAAAGACATGTTGGATTAAGGGCTATGACCCTATAACCTCTGGAAAGACCCGATTTCCAGTGAAGGTCACATTTTGAGTGCTGGGTTCCAGGCTTGGTGTCTTTTGTGGGAGGGGGAGGGCTGGCACACTTAATCCCTATCGCCAGCCCATCTCATCCTGTGCCCGGTCAACCCATCCCTAGGCCAGGCCTCAGGGTCCTCCTGGGTGCTTTTCTGTACCCACCGGGCACTCACTGCAGCCCCCTCGGGGGTCTCTACTTTGGATCAGAGCCTGTGCCCCCTCTTCAAACCGCGTCTTTAATGTCATCTCTTTGCCCAACACCTTGACAGCCCTGAGTGGGTCCACCTCATCCCACTCCCAGGCCTCCACTCCCTCCCACCCCAATCCCATCCCCATGTTTGGTTTCAGTCCTTCCCCCACTGGTCTCACTCCTGACCCCTAGCCCCAGGCCCAGCTCAGCACCCACCCTCCACTCCCTCCCACCCCTCCTCACTAAGTCATGTACCACCCAGTCCTTCCCCAGCCCCCAATTTCAACCCCAACCCCAATCTCAACCTCCTTAGTACCCTCTGCACCCACCCCACTCCCAAACCCAAACCCCACCCTCACCCTCCACCTTCATTCAACTCCATCCACATTCCCGGCCCCCAATCTCAACTCGGGTCCCAGCCCACCCCGTGCCACTCTGGATTCCTTTCCTGTTCCCCTCTGCAGATTCCTAACCTGGTCCCAATGCCGGGCTTGCTCATCCCAACCCCATCCTCCTCCCATCTTGGAAACTCCATCCTGCAGTCGCCAGCACTGTCCCCAGTCCCACCTTGATTGAGCCCCTGCGCTGTTCCCAGCCCTCCCCCCAGGCCCATGCTGCTGTTGTGCTGGGGACCTCCCAGAGCCCCTTCTGTCCTCTGATGCCCTCCACATCCTGGCCAGAGGCTATTTCAGCCCCTGCTCCCTGGGGACTGGGAGGGCACTGCAGGGAGGTGAGGAGGGGGTGACTGGAGCCCCTGCCTTCTGGAAACGGATGGGCAGAAATAGCGCTGGCCAGGAAATAGTTTCTCTGCCAGGGAGGAAGTGGAGGGGGAGGTGCAGGGTAACTCCTGGCGCTGGGACCCTCCCTCTGCCTTTGCCAGAGCCTCCCAACCCCAGGACTCTCTTTTCCCGGGCGAGTCTAACATTTCCAAAGTGCCAGCTCACCCCGACAGCCATGCCAACCCCCCAAGACCCCATCTACCGTCCCCACATCTTCCTCCCTCTCTCTGCTCTGCCCCCGCCCCCTGGTGGTCTCCATCTTGCACCCCTCACCTGGCTTGTGTCTTGGCTCAGCCCTCCACCTTCCGGGACCCTCCTCTATTTCCCCACCTTCCCAGCTCCCATCCCTCCCTCCAACCCTGATGCACATTTCCCTCGCCAACCTCTGGCTTCCCTCTGCCTGAAGCCCTTCTGGATCCCCTGACCCCTAGACCCTTCCCTTCTTCCCTGCCCCTTCCCCTCGCACCCCCTCCCCCAGCCTCCCCCTCCTCCTTTCCACCCTCTTCCTCATCTGACACCTTGTAGTCTTGTGGCCCCCACATCCCGTGGGCAGGTTCCTCTCCCACCTCCAAAGCTCCTGCCCCCTACCTCCTCGATGCCCTGGCCCTCTCTCTTGTCACCTCACCTCCCGGCCCTCCACCCCTGCCCTCCCCCACCCCGGACCCCCATCTTCCCTCCACCCTCTCTTGACTTCCTCCTCCATCCTGGTCCCCACTTTCTCCCACCCGCACTCCAATTCTCTTCCCTTCCTCCCCCACCTTGCCCTTCGCCTGCCCCTTCACGGAACCCATCCCTGCGTCCTCTCCTAGCCATCGGTCCCCGGGCCGGGCCTCGGGCGGGCGCCCTGACCTCCCTCTTCCCCACAGTGCTGGAGATCCTGAGCTTGATCCAGCAGCGCGAGCTGGCGAGGGCCGACGAGCACATCTTGGAGCTGGAGGCGGAGGAGCTGGCGTCGTCGGGGGGCGCGCCAGGGCCGCCGGTGGCGGAGGGCGCGAGCGGGGGCCGCCGAGCGCGGGACGTGGCGCTGCTGTACGAGGCCCTGCAGCGCGAGCTGTGGGCGCTGGTGCGCGAGACGCTGGCGGGACCCGGGCCCGGCGCGGGCGCCGGGGCGGGCGCGGTGGCGCAGCTGGGCCAGGTGCTGGTGCAGGAGGAGGCGGCGGATGGGCGCCGGGGGCCCGGGGCGGCCCGCAAGCTGCGCGCCCGCTGGGCGGAGGCAGTGGCCCGTGCGGCGCGAGAGCGCCTGGAGGCGGCAGCGCCCGGGGCGCCCGGGGGCCTGGCCGGGCAGCTGGAGGCGCTGCGGGCGCGGCTGCTGGAGGACATGGCGGTGGTGCGCGGCCGCCTGGCGCCCGCCTACCCCACCGGCCTGGGCGCTTTCGGCGTCTACCTGCGCGGCTACCACGGCGCATTGGCAGAGTGGCTGGGGGCCTCCGCCCGCCGGAGGCTGCCGCTGGCGGACCGCTACGCCCTGCTGCACTGGCACAATCAGGTGTACCCCAGGTGAGCGGGACCGCCGCTGTAAGATCGCACAGAGCCCCAGCCCCACCCTGGCCTCCTCAGATCCTAGGGACCTTGGAACGCCAGCCCTTCAGTCCTAGAACCAGACACCATAGCACCATTGACTATTCAGGCCTCAGCACAATCCTAGAATCTCAGCGTTGTCACCTCTCACCTTAGCTGTCACCACGGATCCTTCCTGTTCCAGAACCTCAGCGGCATTCCAGTCCCAGCCCCTGGACAATATGGACATTTACACTCTTAGGGATCTTAGCACCATTGATCCTTCCAGACCCAGACCCATCATGGACACGCTTCGAGAATCTTAGTAACATTGACGATCCTGTCCTTAGGCTTTGGCACCCACCACACTTCCTGACCCAGAACCTATTCACACCAAAGGTTGTTTCAATTCTAAAATCTTGGGCTGGGGAAATAGCTGCTTTGGTAGAGTGCTTGCCTAGCATGCCCAAGGCCCTGGGTTCAATCCCCAGCACCACACACACACACACAAATCTCACAACCTTGACATAGCAGTCCTGATAGCTGAGCAGTCAGTCCTGATAACTGAGCATGGTGGACTCTTCCAGTCCAGAAAAGTAGCAGGGATGACACCTACACAGCTAGAATCCTAGCTGTTCAGACTTCCTGCCCTAGAATTTTAGCACCCTGGACTGTTCCAGGGCTAGAACCTTGGCTGCACTGACCTTCAACTTGACTACTTTTGGCCCTTAGAATTCTAGCTGCTCTCTCTCTCTCTTTCCATCCTAGGGCTGTTAACTCGTCCTATCTTTGAACTGTGGAATTCATGGCTCTTTCTTAGCACCTTGTGAGCCTTCAAATCCCACACCTTAGCCTCACCCGCTCTTGGTGCTGAGACCTGGACATGGTTGACCCTCCCAGGCCTAGAATCTTATAACCACTGACCTTTGCATCCTAATCTTACCCTTCTTGTGGTGGGGGGAGGGAATTTGGTGATGAGTTACATTTGGTCACATATCCTCTCCCGGAGAGGGAGTTTTCCACCCCAAATTATACCTTGGTGAGTGAGGGGTTTGGGAAGTTGTCATCAGAAGAATGAGAGGGCAGTGGTACCAGCACTGACCCTATCGACCCCATTTCTCCTCCCCGTCAGGGATGCTCCCAGACCATCTGGAGAGGTGGAGGCAGGGTGGGGGTCTGGAAAGCTTCCAGGAGCAGTGAGACATGGATCACGCCACCCCACCCCCACCCCGTGGGGAGATAGTTTTTCTGTTCATGCAGATGCAATGAGCAGAAGTCAGGTGCGGGTAGGCTGGAGTAGGGGTGACGGTGGTGATATTGCTCAGCCCAGGCATGCAGGGAAGTAGGAGGAGGACTACGGGGGCTGGACTGGGGAGCCCCTGAGGCCAGGAGAGAAGCAGAACCTAGAAGCAGAGGCAGAAAGGAGCCTCTGTCTGACTAAGTGGATCTTGGGAGAGGCCTTGCGTGTCAGATCAGCAAGCCTAGACTTGACCCCTGTAAGTCTTGCCAGGACACCATCCATCAGGGAGCTGACTCAGAGATCTGGAGCCAGGGCAAGGACTTCCTTTGAGGGATGAGCAAAGCTGGCCCTGAAGGAGGAAGGGAGTGGCCCAGGGCCCCAAACTCAGTGGGAGGTCATCAGGTGGGTCCCTTTGCCCGGCCCCTCCTCTCACAGATCTCCCTGTCTCTTATCTCCCACTTTCCAGGGAGGTCCTAGGGCTGGTGGACATGGTTGCCCTGGAGAATGGGGAGCTGGGCCCCCTTCTCTCCCCTGGCACTCTTCGTGGTTTGGAGGATGAATGTGTCACAGATGTCAAGGTACCTGGGACTTGGCATTGGTGATTTGGGGCTGGAGTTGCTCTGTAGAGAGGAAGGGTCACAGTGGGCTTAGGGGGGTCTCCCCTCCTCCATTCACTATTTCCATCTCCCTTTCCCTTTGTGAACTTTGGCTTCTGTCAAAGGCCATAGACATGCAAGCCCACACTGGTCATTTCCGTTCCATGTTCTGTGCCAAGCACCAGAGCCCTGAAGAAGAGACTGTCTATACAGGTTCCATAACCTTGGACCCTTCAAATCTTAGATCAGGAGAAAGCTGTCACAGAACATCAGCTCAGGAATGCAAACATGTTGTGCAATACCCAAACATCTTTTTATCATGGCTGGGCTGATAGTGAATGCAGTTAATAACAGCCCCAGCCACCCGGCCTGGCCAGGCCACAGTGGGACTTCTTGGCTGATGCTAATCTTTCCCCAGCCGCAGAAACCTGATCCTTGTAACCCCAGAGTCTAGAGTCCAGAATCACATGGCTAGCTTATTGAATTGAAGACAATCCACTGGACCAGAGAAGGAGAGATGCGTAAGCCTTTGGAGTTCTTGAATCTCAAGAGGCTGCGTCTTGAACTAATTGGCAGAACCCGGGAGCAGAGTTTTAGCTCCCTCACACAGTGAAAACATAGACCCCCTATGAGATGGAGGAAGCTTAACCCACAGACTCAGTATAAAAGCTTCAAACCACAGACTTCGTTAGGAACAGAAAGGGTTAAATAGATTTTCTGGTTCAGTCTCTCTCCCCAGCATCACCTTCAGCTTAGGGTCCTCAGTAGGTAAAATCCAGAACCGCCTGGGGCTCCAGGGGTAGGGGATCCTGGTGGATAGAGAGAGAAAGACCCACAGGCGGCCCCTGCCTCCCGCCTGCCTCCCGTGTTCCTCCTCCAGGCTCAGACGCGGGCAGCCCTTCTTCGGGTGCTGCAGGAAGATGAGGAGCACTGGACAGACGCGGCGGACTGGTCCAGCAGCCTGGCCCAGGATGTGTGTGAGGTAGGCGGCGGAGGGGAAGGGGCGCCCTTCAGCTGTGCCTGCCCCCACCTCACCTGTCTCCTGTGGCCCACGCAGCTACTGGAAGAGCACACGGAGCGAGCGCCCCGCATCAGCCAGGAATTTGGGGAGCGGATGGCACACTGCTGCCTGGGGGGGCTCGCAGAGTTCCTGCAGAGGTAGGGGGTCTGCAGGCCGAGGGGCGGGGCTGGAGGCGGGGGGCGGGGCTGGGGTTGGGTACCGGGACCTGGGATCTTAGAGAGGAGGAGTAAGGATGGGCAGAGGCGCCCGGGAGGGATCAGGGTCGCAGACTGAAAGGCTGAGTGCTCGGCCAGGGGCCCTGACCCGGCACTGGGCACCATCTATCATGCCAACTGCCCCTTCTTCTCCCCCCAGCTTCCAGCAGCGCGTGGAGAGATTCCATGAGCACCCAGGAATCCGGGAGCTGCCCTCTGACACCTACATCAGCAGGACCATCTCCCTGGTCAACTGTGGGCCCCCACTGAGGTGAGAGCACTCGCAGTGTCGGGCTGTGGAGGTGCCTTTCTGGGTGACAGCTGATTTGGAGTGTCCAGGTCCTGGGTGGGAATCACAAGGTTGACCCAGGGGGACATGGGACCTGAGAAACCTACAGTATGGGAGTTCTAGAAAAAAAAATGACACATAGGATCACAAATTAGAATCATAGAGTGATCAGAATACTGGAGTATTAAGATAATAGATAACCTAGAAGCCAGACTCAAAGGCTCCAGAATTGCATGTATTTCTATATTTCTTTTTAGTTTGCTTTTTTAAAAATTAACTTCCTTCCAGCCCCTTCCCTGGTACTGGGGATGGAACCCAGGGACTCATATGCTCAGCAGGCACTCTACCACCGAGCCACATCCCAGCCCTCTTTATTCTTTATTTTGAGACAGTCTTGCTAAGTTGCTGAGGCTGGCCTGAGACTTTCAATCCTCCTGCCTCAGCCTCTCAAATTGCTGGGATTACAGGCGTGTGCCACCATGCCTGACTATTAACTTGTTTTAAATTGCATTTAATTAAATTGATTTATTTATTGGTGCTAGGGATTGAACCCAGGGCCCCGTACCTGTTAGGCACATCTCTACCACTGAGCTGTGTACCTCCAGCTCTTCAATGGCACTTTTAAAAAATGGTGACACATGAGGCTGAGGTTGTGGCTCAATGGTAGAGCACTTGCCTGTGATGTGTGAGGCCCTGGATTTGATTCTGAGCACCGTATATAAATAAATAAGTGAAATAATGGTGCATGAACATCTAAAAAAATGCTAACACATTCACATGAAAATATATGAAATAATAAGTCTTCCCGCCTCCCCTCCTCCCCACTTGGGGACAACTAGTATTTGTGTGTGTGTGTGTGTGTGTGTGTGTTTTGTGGGGGAATTTCAAATATTTACCAGTAACAGGTATAAATAAGTGTATATATGAATGTGCACACATATTTATACAAATACAAGTGAATCTATTTAACTATATACATATATATTCTCTTCCTCCCCTCCTCCTTCCTTCTGCTCCCCCCCCCCTTTCATGAAGTCTTTCCTCCGTATCCATAGTGGGGATTGGTTTCGGGACATCCCCCTGCCCGCTTCGTCCCCTCTGTGGATACCAAATCCATGGACACTCCAGTCTCCTATATAGAATGTGTAGTGTTGGCCAGGTGCAGGGGCACACACCTGTAACCCCAGCGGCTCGGGAGGCTGAAGCAGGAGGATCACCAGATCAAAGCCAGCCTCAGCAACTGAGCAAGGCCCTAAGCAACTTGATAAGACCCTGTCTCTAAATTAAAAAATATTTTTAAAAAGGGCTGGGGATGTGGCTCATAGGTTGAGCACCCCTGGGTTCAATCCCTCATACCAAAATGATTTTTTTTTAAAGTGAAGTGTTTGCATAGAACCTCCAAACTTCTTCCCTGCTGCCTGACCTCATCTCTGGATGACTTATGATCCCTAATACGATGGTGACTGTGTTTAAATAGCTGCTATGCTGTATTGTTTGGGGAAGGATGAAAGAAAAAGTCTACGTGTTTTGCTACGGGTGCATTTTTTTTTCTCTGAATCTTCTCCATCCACGGTTGGTTGAATCCGTGGTGCGGAGCATGTGGACACGCTGGGCCGACCGCACAGATCGGGGAATACTTCCTAACAGCTTGGGGATCTTCCCATTGATGCTTTAAAGTGTCCCCATGCTCCAGGGCTTGGAGGGGTTCTATGGTAGGGCACTGGCCTAGCACCCTGGGTTCCATCCCTATACTGCAAAGGGAAAAAAGGTCACCATGTTCCTTTTTGATATCGGAACCACATTCTGTGCTGGCCCACACCATCACGGTTTAATCATCCCCAGTGGATGGACATGTGTTTCCACGGCTCCAGGGCAGAACCCTGCTTGCTTGTCATTCCCTGTAAGCGCGGGACCTCTGGGCAGCCATGTTCCCAGAAGGAGATCTGCAGAGAGGGCCCAGGGGACAGTGACAGAAATGAGAGGGAGAATTCAGAATTGCAGACTAAGTTTAGAACCACAGACAGAATGGAGGCCTCTTCACTCCCATTTACAAAGCACCAAGAGAAACAGAGACCTAGAGACACCTCTTTAATTCCCCCATGTCCCCTAGACCCTTGATGTCCCCAGCCTCCTGACACCCTCAGTCCCAGACACCCCTTAGTCTCCTAACATCCCCCAGCCCCCACATAGTCCCCAGCTTCCTGAAGTTCCCTAGTCTCTGCCTAGAACGCCCCAGTCTCCTCTAGATATTCCCAGTTTCCCAAACATCCCTCAGGATCTCCCAGGCCTCTGCACCCCCAGCCCAACATCCCGGAGTCCTTCAGCACCCCATTCCCTAGACATTGCACACCCTCCAGACACCCCAGCCTCAGGCATTCCCTGACATTTCTCAGGCCTTAGACCTTCCCAGAGCCCCCCATCTGACCTGTCACTCGTGCACCCCATAAAACAGGGCCCACCTTGGGGAGACTGGGGCAGGTAGTTGGGCCAAGATGTCGGGGCTCCTTGACATTTGGCTTCACTGATCTCTGCAGGGCTCTGGCCGAGCGCCTGGCCAGGGTGGGGCCCCCTGAAAGCGAGCCTGCCCGGGAAGCCTCCGCCAGCTCCCTGGACCGCGTGACCAGGCTGTGCCACCGTGTTCTGGCTGACATGCTGTTCCAGGAGCTGCAGGTGAGTGGGCGAGGGGCTGGGGGCTGTGCCAGTGCAGGCAGCCCCCCCTCTGCAGCTCCCTTTAGCCCATGACTCAGGGTTCGGGAAGCAGGCAGAGGTGGGGATGATGGCCATGCCTGCGCTGTTTGGGGGGCAGAGGGGGGTGCAGGAAGGAAGAGGTGGGAGGATGTGGTGGGGGAAGGACAGACAGCCACCAGCAGGAGGGGGCTGGGGTGGAGCCCTTGACACTGAGGTCCCCCAAATCCATGCCCAGCTCTCCTGGTCCCTGGGGTCCCATTTGTCCATCTCTGGGTCCCTGTGCCCGCCCCAAGGGGCTAAGTCCCCAGGTGTGGGAGTGCATGGAGCGAACACCAGACCGAGTGGGGAGGTGCATGGAGGTGGCCTTCACTACAGGTACAGCTGACCTCTGCCAGGAGCCTCCCATGCCTCCCAAGTCACTCAGAGCAAAAGCCAAACCCCTCCATGGTCCCAGGGCCCCACACAGTGTCCCAGACCTCGTCACCTTGTACCTCACTCCTCCCTTGCTCCACTCGGGCCCTGCCAGCCTCTTGCTGCCCACAGCAGGCACATCCCTGCCTCTGGGCCTTTGCACCTGTCACTCCCTCTGCCTGGCTTGCTCTCCCTCTGATATCCCTGTAGCTCCCTGTCTCACCTTTTTTAAAATTTTGACCCAAATGTCACCTTCTCAATGAGACCTTCCCCGATCACCCCACTTAAAACAGAAGCTCCTCTAAGTGGGGCACACAGACACGCACCTGGAGTCCCAGCTACTCAGGAAGCTGCGGCAGGAGGCTCCTTAGAGCCTAGGAGTTCTGGACAGCATGATGAGAACCTCGTCTCTTTAAAAATCCAGAACCCCTGAGACTCCCCCTCCCGACTCCCTGCTACATTTGTCTCCCAAAGCCCTCACCGCCACCCACCATGCTATGTCCTTTGCTGGTATTTATTTATGTATTTTTTTCAGGGCCTGCGCGGGCTCGGAGGGGGCTCTACCACTGAGCGGCAGCCCCAGCCCTTTAAAAAAGTCTGCTTCCTCACACTCATGATTAGCACCTGAGGGGCGTTCTCTGAATTCAGAGAATTTTTCTAAAATGCCTTCTTATGGAAAATGTCAAACCTACATGCATGGCCAGAGCAGACAGAATGACAGAATGACCCCCTCAGACCCGTGGCCTACCTCCAGTCGCTGTCCGCTCCTGGCCAATCTTGTTTCATCCAGAGTCCCTTTCTCCCCCTGAATTAATTAATTGATCGATTGACTATTTTTGCGATGCTGGGGATTGAACCGGGGCATCTCACTTCAAGTCCTTGACCACTGAGCCACCTCCCTGGCCCCACCCCACTGAATTCTGTTAAAATCCCCCCACATCCACCAACACTTTAGGCTGTATCTCCCAACGATGAGAAATCCTTTTTAAACAAACATAACCAACAGTGTCATTTTTTGGAGGTACTGGGGATTGGACCCAGGGGTGCTTAACCACTGAGCCACATCCCCAGCCCTTTTTAATATTTTATTTAGAGACAGGGTCTCACTGAGTTGCTCACGGCCTCACTAAGTTGCTGAGGCTGGCTTTGAACTCACAATCCTCCTGCCTCAGCCTCCCAAGCCACTGGGAATACAGGTGTGCGCCATGGCGCCCAGCTAACAGTGTCATTTTATACAGACGCCCGGCCCCAGCACACTCGGTGCTGATGCAGACGGACAGGGCCTGCTCCTTAAATTCCCATCTCACTCCTGCTGTGTGGAGCAGGAAAGTGAGGACAGCAAGTGGCTGGGCCTGGGCCACTGGCTCAAGTCCTGGATCTCAATCAATCAGAGCGAGGATGAGACTAAGGGAGACAGGGGAAGGAGAAGGGGAAGGAGGGTGACTGGAGAGACAGAGGGACACTGGGAAGAGACAGAGACTGGGAGAGATGGACTCAAAGCCAGACCATGCGCTGGTGTGAGTGTGTGACGCCTGTGACCAGGGAATGGGCCCACATGTGAGTGCGCACCCCTGGGTATCGTGTGCCTCTGGCAGGGGGAGCCTGGGAAGGCCGCCAGGGCCCGTGTCCCTGTGACCTCACGCCCTGCGTTTTCAACCAAAGCCCGTAGGCCCCATTTTGGAGGTTCAGGAAACTGGGCCGCTGTCAGGAGGAAGGGGAGGAAGGGGGTGGGGGGCCGCGCGGGATGGGGGCCTGTTTCAGATGCCTGGACACCAACCTGAATGTCAGCACCTCACGGCCCCTGTGTCCCCTGAGCCTCCCTGCCTCCATCTCAGGCACAGACCCACTGCCACCATCCCTAGGCCCTACCAGACACTCCCTCTCTCCCGGCCCAGAGTCACTAACTGTCGCCTGTGAATTCTGCCGCCTGGATCCTCGTTTCTCCCTCCTTCTTCTCCTCCGTGCTCCCCTTCAGCCTCCTCCCTAATTTCTGCCTCTGCCCAGTCTTGCCTCCTCCCGTTAATCTGGGCAAAGCACAAACCTAACCCTCTCCTCTCCCCTGTCCCGAACCTGCCATGGCTCCCTAGTGCTCCCTAGTGTGAAAGTTGGCACGGCCCTGTGTGCTCCAGCCCTGCCACCTAGACTCTTCTCTCCAATCCCCAGCCATGAGCCTGGAAAAAGCCACTAGTGTGGGCCCCAGGGTCGCACAGTCCCCAACACACACTTAGGTCCAAGCTTCCTTAAAGGTCTGCTGTCATTGCCTTAAAGTTCTTGGTGATTTTGAACGAGGGTCTCCGTTTCCTGTCGAGGGCACCTGGAGAACTGGGCCGATGGTCTGGCCAGCCACAGGGACCTTTCTGTGGTGCTCTGACAGCATGCTGTTCCCTCTGAATGAACAGTTCCCTCTCGTGCTCCTAACCATGGCCAGAGTCAGGGCCTGACCTCCTCCTCCAGGCAGCCCTCCTTGACTCACATGCTGGGTCGGCCCACCATGGACTCTAGGCTTCCTAAACCCCTGGTTCCCCAGTTGTGGCCCTGCCAGCTCTAGGTTCTTATTGTCTGGGGACCAGTCTGCCTCCCCTTTGGACTGTGAGCCCCAGGAGGACGAGGTGGGGCTGTCTCCTCCTGCTGCTGTGTCCCCACACCCCCACACCCTAGGTTAAGCTCTGAGGGGGGGGGGGGGGGTTAGAGATCATATTCCTGAGGAAAGAGGGAGGGGGAGGAGGAGAGCGGTGACTTCCCTGAACTCTGTCCCACCCAGCCATACTTCAACAAGCTGATGCGCCGGAAGTGGCTGAGCAGCCCGGAGGCCCTGGATGGCATCGTGGGCACGCTGGGCGCTCAGGCCCTGGCACTGCGCAGGATGCAGGATGAGCCCTACCAGGTGTGCGGCCTGCGGTGGGGAGGGGGGGGAGGGGAGCCAGGATCTGGGGGAGACCCCCTCGAGGTGGGGAGTGGCTCAGCGGGGCCAGGGAGGTGGCACCTGCTGGGGCTGGAGGGGAGGCTCCTGGGAATGGGTGTGGGGGTCCGGTGCAGCCGGAGTGGGGCTCTTGGAGGTAGAACTTGGGGATTGAGGAGATGCTGGGACGGGGCCCCTAGGCGGGCTGTGGGGACTGTTAAGGGGCCTGGGAGGGCATCATCGGGTAGGACAGGGCCGCCGGCTGGGGTCTGGAGGGCTGATTGAGGGCTGAGTGCTAGGACTGGGCGCCCGAGGACTGGGCTCCTGGAGCCGGCGCGGGCGGTGGGGATGGGGGTCCCGCAGCCTGGGCCTGGCGGGGTGCGGGGCGGCCGGGTGGGGCTCACCCTCGCACCTCCTTCCCGCCTCCCGCAGGCGCTGGTGGCGGAGCTGCACCGGCGGGCGCTGGTCGAGTACGTGCGGCCGCTGCTCCGCGGGCGCCTGCACTGTCGCTCGGCGCGGACCCGCAGCCGCGTGGCCGGGAGGCTCCGGGAGGACGCGGCGCAGCTGCAGAGGCTGTTCAGGCGGTTGGTGAGTGGGGGCCCCGGAGCAGGGCTGCCCTTGGCTCCCCGGAGTCCCTCCCAGGACTCAAAGACCACTCTCGGCGGACCGCGAGGCGTAGCGCGCGGTTCCGTGACCTTGGCGCAGACCCGGGCTTTCCGGCTGCAGGGACTCTGAGCTGGCCTCAGGTGCAGAATAAAATAACGATCCCCACCCATTGTTGCAGGGTTAGATCACTTAATTCCTGTGAAAGGCTTAGGGCAGTCCCTTGGCAGCGTTGACACCCGTGAACGTTAACCACGATTATGAGCACAAATAGGACGGGACAGAAACTCAGACCCCTAACATCTAATCTAAGAATGTTAAGCCACCAAATCTTCTTTGAACCCATTTGTAGCCATCAGGACTGGAAGGTCCCCAGTCAACTACTGTTCTGGTTTCTAGCCTGGAGTCCTTGGAATTTTTTTTTTTTTTTTGAAACTTTTTTGAGATAATTGTGGAATCACATGCACTTGTTGTAAGAAAGCTCGCACAGAACTCCCTGTACCCTTTATCCAGTTTTCCCCAAATGGCAACATTTTGCAAACTTGGAATAGATTTTGAGTCATGTGGCACAGCTCCCGATTATCTGCAAAACCGGGTATAGATTACAGTATGGATTGTCCTTCAAATATCTGAAGGTTCCAGATAACCCCCCGGCCAGCCCGTCTTCTGACCCTTTGTACAGATGGGAAAAACCAAGGCCAGGAGAAGCCAGAGCAGGGGACGGCTCCGTCCTGGGAGGGGTGGCTCTGGGAGGGGGCTCTGAACTGAGATGTGAGCCCTGCACGCCCACCACCCCCAGGAGTCCCAGGCCTCGTGGCTGGACGCCGTGGTGCCGCACCTGGCTGAAGTCCTGCAGCTGGAAGACACGCCCAGCATCCAGGTGGAGGTGGGGGTGCTGGTGCGCGACTACCCAGACATCAGGTGAGCGCCGCCCGCCCGCCCGCGCTCCCGCCCCGCCGCCTGCCCGTCTCTGGCGGCCTTGGCATCCGTCCCTGCGTTTCCTGCCCCCCGGGCGAGGGAGGGAGGCGGCGAGCGTGTCTGACGGCCGTTTCCTGCTGGAACCAAGGCATTATTAATACGATTTCCCTCCTCCTGCCGCTGCCGCCGCTGCCGCCACCGCCACCAGGACTCGCAAACAAACAGGCGGTCACAGGAAGCCCAGGGCAGGGGGGCGCGGGGCCGCTGGGCGGCAGGAAGGGCCGGCCCGGCAGGGGAGCCGCGGGGGACACGGGGACAGGCACGGGCACGCGGGCGCACACGCACTGGGACAGTGGCAGGCGCAGGCGCCATCCAAATCCTGGTGGGCCGTTTCCTTCCTATGTGACCTTCTCTGAGCCTCAGTTTCCTCATCTGCTCCCTAGGGATAATAGTGCCGTTTTTCTTAGAATTCTTGGGGGAATTGGTCGGCATCATTATTCTGGGCAGTTTGCAGAGTCTGTATGTCCGTCCTAAATGTGCATCCTGCACGCCCACTGTGCAAGAGGTCCATTTACAGTTCGTAACTCATCTGCTACACGCAGAAATTCCAGTTTCCTAAATATCCCACTTAGCAGGTGGAAAGGGGACCTGAATCTGGCAGCACCTGCGCTCACAGTGCTCTGGCCCCCAGACTTTTCCACTCAGAGGGACAAGCCCCACAGAAACCAGAGTGAGGCATAAGCAGGTTTGGGTTCCAGGTTGAGGACGAGGAGTCTGGAACTGATCCCTAGTGGGGGCGGGGGGGGGTCACATCCTTAGGAAGGCCTGGAGCCCTAAGGGGTCGGGCATTCCTCCAGGTTTGGAGTTTCTGAACTTGAATCTTGGGTAGTGGATCCGAACTTGAATCTGAAGCTAAATCTGAGAGTTCACAGGCTGGGCTGAGAGGACTAGTTTCAAAGCCATGTTCTGGAGCTTGGCTGGGGCTGAAGGTTCTTGAGACACATTTTGGATTTGTGTTTGGGAGCTGCAAGGATTGCAAACTCAGGATGTGGGTAGATGAAGACACTGAGGTGGGTCAGAGGTACAAGCTGTGGAAACCTCAGAGATTTGCACGAAGTGAAAGTTCTCGAAATGAGTGTTGGGCTCAGTGTTTTGAATTGAAATATGTGGTGGCTCTAGAGATTCATTTGGGGCCGTGATTCGGAATTGAGGGGGGAACGGAGGGGAAGGAGGATTTAGGGAAGAATGTTACAGAACAGAGTTGATTTTGAGGCTTCTGATGGGAGTGAGAGTCCCCCAGGTGAATTCTAGTCCTGGAGTGGAATTTTGGTGGAGCATGGGTGTGGGGGCCGGAGACAAGGTCCATGAGCATTCTAGGTTCAGATTTGGGAATGAAAGTTCTACAATGTGATCCAAATAGAGAGCTGTTGAGTCGAGTTTGGAATGAAGGTTTCAGTCCTGGCCTCAGACCAAGGTGAGAGCTATGACTGGAGTGTGGTGGACGGTTCTGGGCTGGACGTAGGAGATGACTGTGGAGCCATTTGGTTGGACCCTGAAGGTGAAGCTCAGGGTTTGTTGTAGGATCCAGTAGTTGCAAGGATACCCGGATGGAAATTTAGGAGAGCTGAGCTAAATTGGGGCTGAAGGTTAATTTTAACCAGCAGCTGAGACTTGGGGTGAACAGGAAGACCCCTGTGCTGGGTTTGGAGAGGAATGTTCTGAAATTGTGCTGTCCATCTGGGCTCACAGGGGAGGATTTCGCAATGGTTGGCCGGAGAAAGACTGGGGAAGGAGACGATTCAGAAAACAGGGCAAGGGGGCTCCAGATTCTGTGTTGGAAGGGACTCAGGTGGGGTCTGCAGGTGGACTGGATGTGCGTCCAGAGCCAGGACCCCTGCGACCCTGTGCGTTCCTCTACCCACAGGCGGAAGCACGTGGCGGCCCTCCTCGACGTGCGCGGACTGCACAACACTGCCACGCGCCAGGAGATCCTGGCCGTGGCCCGGGACCTGGAACTCTGTGAGGGGGGAGCCCTGTCGCCCCCTCGGGATCGTGCCTTCTTCTCGGACATCCCTGTGCCCCGCCCTTCTTTCTGCCTCAGCCTCCCCCTCTCGGTGGGCCGCCTCCCCCTGTCCCGGTTGGCCAGGCCCAGCCTGGCCTGTCTGCCCCTGCGGCCTCGGCCTCTGTCCCCGTCGAGGCCCCGGGCCCAGCGCTGAGGCTCTCCCAGCCCTCGGCCTTAGTGCCCCCCACTTTGCTGCTGAGACGCCATCCCCCTGTGCCACTGCCCGAGACTCCCTGCCCGGCTCACAGAGCCCTGGGATGGGAAGAGCCTTTGAGGTCCCCTCCGCCAGCCCCAAACTCTCCCACCGAGGGGAAGCAGAGGCCAGAGGGAGCAAAGGCCTTCCCAAGGCCAAGGAACTGGTTGCCAGAGCTCCCTCCCCCCACAGCCCTGTGTAAGGGTGGTGTTCTGGAAGGCTCCACAAAAATATCCCGCCCCCCCTTCCCTTCACCTCAAGGTCTGGCCCCCATCCAACGTATTAAGGAACGTTCGATACTCAGAATAAAGAGGTTTCTATTTAACACTAGGAAGGGCTGAGTCCTGAGTGAGGCGGAGGAAGGACGGGGGCAGGGCCCAGGGCCAAGGCTTCTCACCCGTCCAAGGCCAGGCTGGGGTCCAGCTGTCACGCAGGGCAGTGGAGGCTGTGGGAGGCCACCACAGCTGCCGGCCACCCATTTACTCCAAGTCCCTGGGCTGTGTGGCTCTGAGGCCAGCCCTTGGCCACTCTGAGCAGGGACCATCATCCTGTCCACTCTGGTCCTGGTGGGTGCACCTTGGCATGGCCTCCCCGCCCATCCATCCTTGGCCGGGAAGCTGCGTCAAGAGAGGAAGGAGGTTGGGGGTGGGGCCGGCGGCATCCAGGGCGCCCTCCTGGGTTGATGCAGGAAAATCTCAGGGTGGGAAAACTTCCAGCCTCTTACCCCCAGCCCCACCGGATCCAGGTCTCCACGGAGGCCTGGAGGTCACCTCCCTGCTGACCCCTGCCTCTCCGGCCCGAGATGGACAGCTCATGATGGATGCTTCCGGGCCTGTGTTGTTTTAATTTTTTTTTTCCCTGAGAAGTCAGAAAGAGGAGACGGCCAGGGGTCAGCCCCGGGGCTGGGGTTGGAACCTCACGTACGTTTGAACTCTGGGATCTGGAGACTGAGACTCTTGGAGCCTCCTGGCTGTGTAGCTGTGGGCAGGAAGCTGCCCCTCTCTGGGCTCTGGTTCCTGTCCCTCCCTGGGAAATCATTTAACCTCTCTTTGCCCAGGCTGAAGTAAGACGTCCGGAAGATCTACCCCCCTGACTTCATCCCCAAAAGTGACACTTTTAAGGGGGTGTACTGGCACTGGAATCCTGGGCTTCACGAATGTTAGGCAAGGGCTCTACCACTGAGAGACATCACTAGTCCTTTCTAAAACTTTGTTGTGAGACAGTCTCACTGAGTTGCCCGGTCTGGCCTTGAACTTGAGATCCTCCTGCCTCAGCCTCCTGAGGAACTGGGATCAGAGGAGATCTCCACTGTATCTGACAAGGTTTCATTTCTTTTTATTGCCGAATATATTCCACAGCACCCGTGTTCCCTGTTTTATTTATGTCAGTGGGTAGACATTTAGGTTGTCTCCACTATGGGGCTATGATGAATTTGGTCCTCTGTGTTTTCTAGATTGCAAACATTTTCTTGCTCTTGCCCCCAGTTTTTACCTCTGTGAAGTGGAGGCGGTAAGAGCCTAGCAGCTGCATTCACTGAACACACACGTGCTCTCGCGGGTTCCCTCAGTGCCCTTCTCAACATGCTTGCAAACTTGGGGGTGGGAAGACGTGCATCCAATCCCCCCAACAAGAGCCAGGACCCCGCCTTTATCCCCCAGGCCCCTAGAGCAGCCACCCTTCCACATGCCAGGGGGGCTCAAGGGGAGGTCGTGTGTGCATGGCACTTGGCACCGGCCTTGACCCATGGAAAGCACTAGAAAACACAATCAGCCTTGCGGACTCAGAGGTGCCTTCAAATCCTGGCTGGGCCCCCTTCTGCTGAGGGAGTGGGGTGGGGCGGCTCTGGTGGCCGGGTTCCTGTATGTGCAGAGCACTCACCCAGTGGGTCTCCAGTGCCAAGAGTCTCATGGCACTGTCCCCTGGCCTTGGGAACAGAGGCTTCTCCTGGGGGGAAGCAGGCTCAGGAGGTGAGGGTCTGCTGGGAACCCAGGACCAGGCAGAGGCTGGGATTCAGCCCTCAGTCCAGCCCTCAGGTAGACTGAACCTGCCCCCCTGCCGACTGAGCCCCACCGTGTGCCATGCCCAGGGGTGCCCAGGGGTGCCCAGAGTGGGAGCAGCTGACACCTGGGTAAATAAAACCCAGTGCATCCATAAGGACACCTTCACTTAATAATTAAATGAAGGCTGATATGCGCTGCAATGGGGACGCACCTCCTCTGGGTCCCAGTGTCCTTATGATGACTGTGGACCCAGCGCCCATTTCCCATGGAACCATCTGCTGAAGACCACCCGTCAAAGCCTTTGGGTGGTGGGAAGGGCCTGGCCGCACGGTGGGAGAAGGCCAGGGTGTGGGCCCCTTCACCAGCACCCCAGAGCCAAACAGGGACTCGTGCCTGCAGAAGGGAGGAGGATGCAGAGAGGCTATGGGGAGCTCCGCCCGCCATCACTGGGCCTGAACCCCGGGGTCTTCTGCAAATGCACCCTCCACCCAAGAGCCCAGATGCCTGCCGGGCCCCCATTCCAACCTTTCCACCCCTGACCACCCTCGGAGGCTCCACGTCTCTCCCCGAGATGCCGTCCCCCATGAAGCCTCTGTCTTGAGACCTGATCCCTTTCACGGACGCCCTCCCATCCCTCATGTCCCCGTTGCTCTCTCTGAGCCTCCCTACCTCCCTCTGCCTCGGAGGTCCTGCCCTCTCTCTGGTCCTCTGAGTCACATTGCCAGCCCTGTTAATGTCACCAAATCATACACTTAACCTAATTAAATGATCTCTTTTATGTATATTTCACCGCAATAAAAATATGAGAGAAACCTCATCCTCATTTACAGTGGATTTCCAATCTCCGAGGTCCTCTTCTAGCCCTTACCATCCACTAGTGACTCGGTCTCTATTAATCTACCATTTGAAGATGCTTTATGTCCATGAAAACAAGCAATCCGTGGGCTTTGTGACTGCTTCCTCCTGAGCGTGGCAGTTTCCAGGGGATCGGGGCTGCGGTGCTCACCAGGGCTCTTTCCTTCTCTCAGCTGTGTCAGCGAGGTTTGCATCACTGTGACCAAAACACCCAACAAGGACAACCTAGAGGATGAAGAGTTTATTTGGGGCTCATGGTTTTGGAAGTCTTGGTCCATAGGTAGCCAAGTCCATTGCTCAGGCCAAGGTGAGGCAGCCACTCCTGGAGAAGAGTCCCTCAGAGGGACACTGCTCAGCTACAACAGGGTCAGGAAGCAGAGGTGGGAAGGGCCCAGAGAAGATGCACCCTTCAGAACACACGCCCAGAGGCCACCCCTTCTAGCCACACCCCCCATGCCTAAAGCTACCACCCAGCTCCTTCAAACCAGGATGGACTAAGAAGGTGACAGCTCTCATGACCTAATCATTAGCCTCTGAATTCCTGCATTAACAGGAGCTTTGGGGAGACACCTCATTTACAAACCATGACAGTCTGTCCCTTGTCCCCAGAAGCTCATGTCTATTTCACAATGAAAAAAATGCAACTAGTCCATCTCCAAGAGTCCCAGAGTCTTAACAGTTCCAGCCTTGCCCAGAAGTTGTGTCCAGGTCCAAAGTCTCGTGAGATTCAAGGCAAACCCTTGGCTGGGAGCCCCTGTAAAAACCAAAAGCAAGTTACATCTATCCCATAGACAGCGACACCCTGTAAACATTCCCATTCCAAAAAGAAGGAAGAGGGGCATCGAACAGAGGCTACCAGGAAAGATCGGAACCCAGTGAGCAAACGGGTTTCCTACCTCCACACCAGGACCTAGGACACTTGGCCATGAGATGTCATTTCCAAAGGGCTCTTGGGCAGCCCACCTGGGCTCTTTGACCCTAGCACTCTCCACAGCCAGCAGCTTTTCTCAGTGGACAGTCCATGTTACCAGCATCTCTTGATTCTTGGGGGTCTCCATTCCAGCTTTAGCTTCTCCTGCACACTTCACACGTGGCCCTCTCAGGGGTGGCCTGCAGGGACTCTGACCATGCTTCACTTTTCCTGGCTTCCCAGACCTTCTTCAGGTATCTCAGGGAAGCCACCATGACCCCTTACCTATTCCTAGGGATGATGCCAAGATGTGCTGCCAGCATGCACTACACCTGGGCTCCTAGAATCCCAGCTTCAGCAGCCCCGAGTACCTGTGTGGCTCCACGTGGTGAACCAACTTCCTCGGCCTCTCTGTGCTAGCAGTGCACCCTCAGGGCCTCTTCTCAAAGGAATTTTCTCCTCTGTGCCCTGGAGCCAACTATCCAGTGGGTGTGGTCTTGTAAATTCCAGAGGTGCCCTCAGACATCCTTCTCAATCTCTGTGCAAAGTACTTAGCATCACTTTAGGGGCTATGATCTCTTCAACAACCACACCTTCCCAGGCCCCAGCTTTACCTACACTTTTCTGGCCAAACTACAAGACCTTAATATCCTTTAGCTTTGTTTTCTGCTCCCAATTCTCACAGTAATCCTTGATAAAAGCTGTCAGCAATATTCACCCCACTGACTGAATGCTGTGCTATCTTGAATTTTTCTCCACCTACCACTGGGGTTGTGGCTCAGTAGTAGAGTGCTTGCCTTGCATGTGTGAGGCACTGGGTTTGATTCTCAGTACCACATAAATAAATAAATGTCCATCAACAACTAAATTTTTTTTTAAACACAAGTTTTCTCCACCAGATCAACAAGTCCATCATCTTTAAATTCAGCCTGACACAAAGTCTCAGGACATGGGCAAATACAGTCCAGTTCTTTGCCAAAATATAACATGAGTGGCCTTGAGTCCAATTCACAATAAAGCCCTCATTTCCCTCGAAACATCACAAGCACATTCTGATCAGCATTCTGGTTTTCTGAGGTCCCACAGAACTGTCCATGAAACTCCACTTAGAACCCTCCTAAAGCTTTTCTGTGTGCATCTCTAAACTGTTTAAAATTCCTCCCATAAACCAGCAGCAGAGGCTTCTGAACCACACGGTCAGGTTATCACAACCATGACCCCCAGTCCTGGTACCAATTTATGTTTTAGTTGGGTTTTGCGTCATTGTGACCAAAACACCTGACAAGAACCATTTAGAGGAGGAAAATTTTATGTGGGGTTTGTACTTTCACAGGTCTTTTTTTTTTCCTAAATATTTATTTTTTAAGTGTAGATGGACACAACACAATGCCTTTACTTTTATGTGGTGCTGAGGATGGAACCCGGGTCCCACCCATGCTAGGGGAGCGCTCTACTGCTGAGCCACAATCCCAGCCCCAGTTTCACAGGTCTTGATCCATAGACGACCAGCTTCATTGCTCTGGGCCCAAGGTGAGGCAGCACGTCATGGGGGAGGGGCCCAGGGAGGAAAGATGCCCAGCTCATGGTGGGGTCAGGAAGCAGAGAGAAAGAGAAGGGAAGGGCCTACCAGGCGCCGTGACACATGCCTGTAATCCCAGAGGCTGGGGAGGCTGAGGCAGGAGGATTGCAAGTTCAAAGCCAGCCTCAGCAAAAGCGAGGCACTAAGCAACTCAGTGAGACCCTGTCTCTAAATAAAATACAAAATAGGGCTGGGATGTGGCTCAGTGGTAGAGCACCCCTGAGCTCAATCCCCAGTATGGAAAGAAGGAAGGGGGGAAGGGCCACCAGTGACCCACCTCCTCCCACCAGCCTCACCTGCCTAGTTACCACCCAGTCAGTCCATTCAAACTAAGACGGACTCTCATAATCTAATCATTCCACCTGTAAACATTCCTGCATTAACAGAAGTTTCTGGGGAACTCCTCATAGTCAAACCTAAACACAGCTGACTTTCACATCGTCATGGGAAGGTGTACCACACTTATATGTTTATAAGTTGGTGGACATTTGGATTTTGTTTCCACTTTTGAGCTACTGTAAATCATGCTGCTATGAACATTCATGTACAGGCTTTTTCTTGGCTAAATGCTTGTGTTTCTCTAGGATATATATGTTTAGCTCTTTTTTCCTCCAGGACTGTGGATGGAACCAAGGGGTATTCTACCACTGAGCCACATCCCCACCTCTTTTCTAAAGTTTGAGACATGGTCTCACTAAGTTGCCCAAGATGGCCTTGAACTTGTGATCCTCCCGCCTCAGCCTCCTGAGTTTCTGGGATTACAGGTGTGTACCATTGTGCCTAGTTTCTTTCTCTCTCCCTAAACATTTATTTTTGTTTAGTTGTAGGTGGACACGATACCTTTATTTTATTTTTATGTGGTGCTGAGGATCGAACCCAGTGCTCATGCATGCTAGGCAAGCGCTCTACCTCTGAGCCTCAATCCCAGCCTCTCTCTTTCTTTACAAATACAAATTACATACATCTGTGGTGTGCATTATGTTTTAACACATGTATACATCGTAGAATGGCTAAATCAAAC